CATCAGCTCCTTGTATATTAAAAATACTTTTCAGAATAAGAAATTCTTTATAAGGATATCTCCAGCTCACCCCACATTTTATATTATCATTACAACGTTTCATGTAAAACCAACTGCATGCAAAGAAAATGGAGGCACTGGTGCTGCAGTTGGACYTGTGAATGCACTGTAGTGATATCTGGGAGAAGTAGGGCAAAATCCACTTGCTCTGCAGTCCTGATTCCAGGGTGTAAACCCCTATGCAAATGATGTACTTTAGAAATAGTGAGCTTGCTAGAGTATGTGTACCAATTCCTATTTAACATACAAATGATTGCACATCACAGCACACAAATACTATGTTCCTTTTAGAAGGAAGCCCAAGTAGTTTAGCACTGGATTATTTCTCATATGGTAGAATTGCAAGATACAGAGAAAATTTTCAGCAAGCTACTTTAAAATGTATAACACMGTGCCAAAGCTACTGAAATGGTGGTGTTTGGATTCTTTGCTGAAGTCTGATAATCTCACTTCCCCAGCTCATGGCACATGCTATTCTTTCCTTAAGAGTATTTCATACTGCCTCAGAAAAAAAACGTGCCAATATTCCTCTTTAGTCAAGCAGTTCCAGTTTTTAAGCAATAGCGGAAAACAACATATAGAGCATTACTCAGTCTTGCAAATTCCTCATGAGCAACAGGAGTTTGGCCAGGATTTGACTGATTTCTGTCTCAGTGCCTAGACCAACCTATCCATGAGAAAAATGTTTGGATAGACTGTCSTCTTCATGGCTCAGCCTGCTGAGAGCAGTCAGTAGTGCTGCTGAGAAGGAAACACAGCTCCTGCGCACCCGCAGGCAGGCCAGCCCTTCACCCAGGGCACAGCAAAATCCCAGCAACCCAGAGTGGCTTCAGCTCCCCTTTGTGSTCTGTGAGCAAGGAGAAGAGTTCCATTTATAACCCTTTTCCTCTTGTTCAGCATCAAGTGGAGGGAGAAGGAGCCTAGATACAGCACCTGCAGCAGCCCCCTGCTCCTCCAAGTCTGGTGGAGAGGAGAGGAAACTGGGGCAACTCACTTGGCTCTCAAATTGTGTGGACTGTGCACGTACACCAAACCCTTCTTTCTCCAAGAAATGCTGCCTTCTTAAACTTTAGGCATGGCTTAATCAGAGTCCCATTAACACTAAACAGGGCACATACAAGCAATTTTTAAAGGTGTAATGATATCTTTTTCTTGTCCTCTAGTCTAAAAAGAAAATGGAGCAACAACAATAACTAACATAAATCCAAATTCTTGTCTTTCACAAAATGCAAAAGATTATGCTGTACTGCTACTAAGAATCAGCTGACTTTACATCTTGCTATCTCTGAACAATCTTAGTATTATTTTCCATTTAAGTATTTTTTTTCATGTGCTGCTGACAAGCCATTTTCTAGCTGCCTACACTTGTGGGACATATCGGTCCTTAGCTAGCAGAGATCAGTTGCAAATGTGAAGCTATGTTTACAAACACAATGACAACAACAGACATTCTTCTGTTGCTGACTGTTGTCAAATATAGTGATTAATATATTTGAATAACATTAAACAAGAGGAGCAAATGAAACATTTAGTTTTTGTTCATTTAGAACAATTATTATGTGGTATTCTGCTCTGTGTTTGGTTATCAAAAAGATAAAATAAAAGTAGTTGAACTCAGCCTCCATTTTCCAGTTTTCAGAGGAAGCATCATTTGAGTATGGGAGCCAGCACCCACAATGAAGGCTCAGGGCTGCTGTTTTTCTGAGTGAGGTGTGCTGRCAGCCAGGCCAATGCAGCTGTTCTTGCCCTTTATGACAGCTGATGTAGCAAATCCTGATAGACTGGGGATGGAGTTCAATCCAGCCCCTGCAAACACCTCATTCAGTTGGTCTGACAGATGGCTGGACACAAACATTTTGGCAACTAGAACTGGKCTTCAAGCTGTAAACTGGGCCACCTCTGGTGTCTAATATTCCTTAAAATATTGCAATATATTTTTTGTTTAGCTAAACATACAAGTGATAGCTATTGCTCTGAGTCATCACTTCAGTGTGGCCAATATTATGACAACTTATTGGAACTAAAGAACTTTGTAAGCTTTTAAATAATCTTATGCTCCATTTTGTGCTGACCCAAGTGGCCCAGCCCAAGCCCTACTCCTTAGGGCTTTTCTCCCCTACTGCACATTTCCAAACTAAAGACTGTAGCAGGGGCTCTGCTCRTACAGTGGAGAAGGACTGTAGTGAAAGCAGAGAGCAGCTGGTAGCACAAAGAAAATCACGATGGCTCCAGTCTGGTTTGTGCTGCTTGCTCTGCCATGAATGTGAACTGCTCAGCTCTGAGCTCAGCTAGGGGACAACAACAACTAATAACAATAGTAATATAATAAACCAAACAGTTGATTTGCCTCTCCCTAATAATTTCCCAAACTCTTATTCACTCAAAAGCCTTAATAGTAGCATGCAATGTTTATGGTTCAGGATCGTGAAAAGATTCATGTGGCCATGTTCAAACTATCTGAAATTAATACTAGATTCTTGTATTGATTCTCAGCTTGACTGTTGAGAGTTACAGAAATGTTGACTATTACCAGGATAATCTTCATTTCCTAAATCTCATTGTCGTGTATGAAGTCTTCTCTCTTACTAAACACTCCAAAAAAGTAAATGGGAATATTTTCATTGATTTCAAGGCAAATTTAATTAGGCTACTTGTCACATAAGCAACTTCTCAGATTATACCCACTGAATTTAAACCAAAGATCTGACAATTATAATTTTCCCCATTTTTTAATTAATAGGTTTTTAAGATTTACTTCTTAAAAATATATAATTTGGGGATAATCCTAAGGGGTGWATACACTTTTTATTTTATATATGAATTAATACTTTAAGAAGAAAGGCCAAAAATAACATGTACTTGGCTGAAGTCAGTACACAAGTTTCTCAGTACTGATCTTACTTGTCTGAGCTTCTTTTTAATTCAGGACTGAAAACTTGTGCAGAAAGTGTGAGTGCTGCCTAAATGMTACCTCCAGATATTATTCCAAAAATCCATGAACAACTGTCACTTTGACTTCCACAGCTGTTTCTCCACCCCGTCTTTGCAGAAGACAACACCTGGATCATATCTCTTTGGATATGTTGTATAGAATGAGTGCTACAAGCAACAGCAGCTTCATTCTGATTTAGTGGCTTTAGTTTGTCACTGTGTAAAGCAATATGACTGTGCTTGCTTCTGAATGCTGGTGCAAGATTCAAATTGAGARTGCCTGAGCATTTCTGAAAGACACCATAATCCATCATTTCCATCGATATTTTGTTGCTGAAAGCAGTGCTGTAAGTAATCAGAATTGTACAAGAAGTTTTCCATTTGCAGACCAAGCCTACCATGCCAATTTTGTCCAGTTATTGCAAGCCCAATGTCAAGTGCAACGATAAAAAAATCACAAGAGATATTTCCATTGAGCACATGAGGGGTTTTGGTTAAAACCTTCGAGTATTAGGAATCCACATTGGGCCATGCCCAGAAATCTTTTTAYATGGTGATTTTCAAGATGCATGCATTATTGTGAGCACATGGTATGTAAATGCATTGGGCTGCTTAATAAGCATTCACTGACACACATCTGCAGCTTTGCTAATGTACCTTTTATTCCTATGTGGTTGTCAAGGAAACAGGTTATGGCCCAGTATTCTGTCTAAAATGTACTGAGCAAATATTCTATGACAATTTACTTAAAATAGGTACAATTTAGCTCATTGCTTCTGTAGTGCAGGTAACCTGAATTTATCTAATGGTAATGTTTCACTGATTAGTTTAAAATCTCAATGCCATTTTATTGTCTCTGAAAATCCATTACCATATCCTATGTCATACAACATTGTGTATTAAAACCATATTTAATTACAGAAAACATTTTGAGATATTCTAGGAATTGAAGAATTCCTCTGACTTGTGGGTTTTGGATTTTTTGGTTTGGTTTGTTGGTTTTGTTTAGTTTTGTTGATGGTTTGTTTTTTTTTGTTTTGTTTTTGTTTTTAAATTTGCTTTCTTACCATACATTCTGTCTGGTGACCTTAATTACTAATTTGATCTACCACAGATTAGAGATACCACAGTGAGAATGACTCTGATGCAACAAACTATTTCCTACCAAAATTTGTGCAAATAGTGCCACTGGAATCAATGGGATTTCTCCCTTTCTTCATGAATTATATTCTTTGGTACAAAGGACCACATTAAAAATTAATTAATTAATCAGGATTTCACTGATTCTTTCACTCGATATATATCTTGAATCTAAAGCACAGATACCAGACATTCTAACCAAGATTATTATTGGGATTCACAATAAGAAGAAAGGAAATGGTTAATATTTGCAAAAGCTGTGCAAAATGTGAACTGCTATTTTGAAATACCCTTTGTGATTATTTGTCACAATACTATACCTGAATCTACAAACTGCTCTTTCCAGTTCATGAATCAAGAGGCTTTTAGCTGTCCCTGATAACAGTTTTGTATAAAGGTAGAGATTCTATGAACTATATCCAGCTTAACTAACACAACAGTGTCAGAAATGAGCACTGAGAGTTCTATCTCAGTGTGTTCTATCTCACGCCTTTACTGCATGGCACAGGTTTGCAGTGAAYGCTCGTGACTATGATCCAGAGCTAACGTTCTGGCAAGCTCAGGAGGTTTGTGTGCCTACCAATGTTTGATTTGTACAGATCACTGGAGGCTGTAATAACCTGCTTCAAAAACTCTTCTGTCCGATTTTGTTTGTCCAACTTCTATGGCAATAGACATCCAGCAGCTACTGAAAAAATTCAACAATATTGACATGGGAATAGAACAGTGTGGTACCACAGTGAGAACAATTTTTAAATTATTGTAATAAACTAGAAATTAACAGAAAATACACCCAGGTAATGCAGTGGTGATGGTGTTAAATAATTTAGCTCTATTTCTGTGTGAGATTACCCCATAAACGTACCTACCTAAAATCAGGTTGTTCTTCTTGTTAGAATCTTTTAAAAGTGGTATTGACAGGTATTTTCAGCAAAACCATCTCAGTAATTTTGTGAACTGTGTGGCTACAGTGTATCAACCTGCAAAGGGAAAAATCCAAATTTAATGACTGAATTATTAGACAAGTCCTAATTTCCACATACATTGCGTAATTCAGCAGAATTTTCCCTGGGGTGCTGTAGGACTCCAAATCTACATCTGGGAGAACAAATCAGCAATAAACTAGTACCATTGACGAAACTTCTGCTGCAATTTTTTTATTGTGGTTTAATCTGTGTAGTGCATAATGATATGTTCTAGACAGAAATGTAAGGACGTTTTCAAGTTTAAAGTAATTATTTTGAAAGACATTTTCTTTCTCCTCTCCCTTTTCTACCACTTTTCTTTTGATCTCCCTTGTCACAGACATCACCACAGAATCTGTGTTGACATTTCTAGGCAAGTCTTGTTCTCTGGAATACACTATCTGTATTTCTATGTTTAAATGTTTATTCATCATTGTCAACCATCCTGATTTTATTATTGTGTATCAAACAGCCTATAAAGGTTTTCCTGTAGCAGTATAAAAATGATGTGGAACAGGGTTTTGTTTCAAAGATACTGAACAAAATTAAATTGTTCCTTAGAGAAATTGCAAAATCATGCAGATAAGGCCTCATGACTCAGCTGATAGGCATTCATACAGCAGCAAGTATGGAGCAGCAATTAAAAATACATAGSTCCATCCTCCATTTGAAAATACAGTGAATGCTCTTATCAGTAACATTGGACAGGAAATACAGGATCCATTACTTTGGCTTTAAAAGATAAGAAAGTGAGCTAATTTTTTTTGTTGCTTTAGCCTTGTACATTTTTAGTACATGTTAATTTGAATAAGAATTCTGTAGCTCACATTTGCCYGTAACAAAGGCCAGAATGAAAAATAATTGCATTGTCATTATTATTACCTCAAATTCCAATAAAGACATGTTCATAAATGACCAAAATATGGTAAATGGGAAGCKTAAACATCATATTTGGAGGAATCCAGCAGTAAAAGATCTTACCAAAGCTAAAGATTTCCCAAATTCGGTAGTACTGGAATTAAAATGTCATGTTATACATAATAAAGCCCTTTTAATACATAGTGAAGTAATTTATGTGATAAGGTACAACAGACACTAGATAYCTCAAAAAGGTTAATTGGTACCTATTCATTACTAGCAGAATCTGTTTAATAGTCTGACAAATATTATATAAACACAGATAGTTTCCCACTGAGAGACCTGAAGTTTCAAATCAAAATGAAGTTTAGAGGCAGAAGTAACCTTTATTAGATAGGCCATTGAAAAACAAGTAGGACAGTGTCCAAGTGAATAATTTTTTAGTTTTATTTCATTTTTACTCATGCTTTAGATTTTCTGTCAGGCAGCAATGGAATTTGCATGGATAAAAGAACAAATTCCAATTATCAGAAGGGAGGCTCAGTATCAACAATTATACTTGTATGATAAAAYTGAAAAACCTTCCAAGCTACAATAAAATAAACCCAAAAAACCCAACAAACCCCCTTGACAATAACATTTGCACGCTATGCTGGAGGTGGGAAAACCTGCACCTGCTCCTCCATGCCCTAGTTAGCCCCCTSAGCCAAAGAATAAAATGGATGAAGTTTACAGAAGATATCTTATGGCACCTCTGGCTACAACATTCTGATGCTCTGCATTAGCTGGATCTAAGTGTCACYGAAATACAAACAGCAACCCACGTATAACAGTCAAACTGGAAACAGCTTGCTAATTACTAGACTCCTCCTTAATAAAGAAATCCGTTTCTTTAGCTAGAAGAAATTACCGTTCACAGGCTGCCAATGAGTTTTTCCAGACTCATGAAAGCACTTGAGTGCAAAGGACTTGCAYCCCTTAACGAAGAGCAAATTTGCAAATGGATTTAAAACAACCATAGGGAAATGTGCTCATTGTAATGGAGCTACTTTGAAAAAATGTCTTGAGTGGGCATGTTTAAACACAAAGACATAATAAAACCAGTTTATCTCTAAGTGCCCCATCTTTTCTGAAGATGAGTATCAGAGGCAATAAATAGATTCGACATCGCATTTGCTCAGCACTTCCTTTAAAAATAACCACACAAGAAATAAACAAAGAAATGCACCTTCTTTCTGCATTTAATGGCGCCTTCCATATTAACATTTTAGACAGGAAAATAATCAGCAGAAGCAAGCTACTAGAGATAAATCAAATTACAAAAAATGCAGACTTTAATACGTCACTTGAGACATGCTGTCTGTTTTCAGTTCTGCTTCTTTAGGTGAAACAGAGGAATATTGCACTGCATTAAATTAATCTCATAATTATGACTCAAATGGTTTTATTGTCATCATTAAGGATTTGCCTATGACAACACATGACAAGTCATATTCCTGAACAGTTATACTCTGTTCATTTGGAATGCCCTGAACTGGTATATTTAGGAGTAAATAAATGAGAAATATTTTAATATAGCTGATACTGTCAAGGCTATTATTGATAATTGGCTGTGCTTCTAAATACCTCCTATAAATTCACTTTCAGTGTTTCCACACAAAATATACTCAGTCATTTAAAGTCAAGGACATGAAAGGAAAATGGCTTCCCTGCTGCAAAAGTCTCATTGCAGTAGTGAGAATTTCTCAAGTCACKTACAAAGGGGATGCACTACGTTATAAGCTCAGTGGAGACATTCAGTAACATCTGATTTTGTATAGGCAGTTACCTGTGGTATATATAAGATTTAACTTTACTGACACTGTAAAAATATTAGCTAAAAATAGAAATAAAGAATCATAATACTTACATTTTGCAAAATCTATAAAGTATGCAAATTACCGCAGACCACAAGTGAGCTGTTTCTCTAAAGGCTTAAGGTCTGACAGGGGTTGTTTTGCAGTATGCTTAAACACAGTTCTTTACCTGAACTTCAGAAGGAGTCCACTATTTAAAGAAAGCGTTTTTAGCATTACTGTGGATGAWTTCAGCAAAGGTGAATGACAGTTTAAACGTACTTCTGATTCTCTACATATGTCAGCTGCTAAATGTTTTAGCGATATTTTTATACTTGTGATAATAAAACTATTACTTTATATACACTGAGTACAAACCTTGACCTACATGCAAGACTGGGCTAAATTAAAAAAAGAAACCAGGGTACGTGTCTGTGAACAACCAATGCAAACCAGGAATAAAGCAGGTTTTTGTGTGTACAGCTTTATAAACATGGCATCGTTTAAGAACTGATAGCTGCATGGAAACATAAAGTGAGATCACATTCTCCGTTAGAACTAAGAGGAAACAACTGCAACATTTCCATTTGCATTGTGATACTGCTTTAAAGAGAATAACATCTTTCTACATCTCTACCACTGAACCTTTTAAAAGGATTTGGTTGCCAAGGAAACTGGTTCTGGCCCATTATTTGTATTAATCTGAAACAAATATATTATAAAACTTGGTGTAAGTAACACAGTATTCATAATTATTTTTATTCTTAATGCTCAAATTCAGGATTTTGTATTTAAGGCTGCTAAGTTTTTATTTCTTTTTTTTTGTGTGAAGTAAAACATATTTCAGTGAACTGATACTCAGTTTAAGCTGACAGGGCCACCTATATCATTCTCTCTCTTTAAAGTTCTCCTATCTTTAAATAGAAAGAAATACTGCAGTTCTGTGTTTGTAGCCAATACTGAAAATATAAGCATTAAAGCATATTATTCTTTATTTAACATTTCGCACAAAACACAAAACCGCCTACGACAGAATTTAAATATTTTTCTTTTTTTTTAATCTCTCTCAATTTTTATTTCTGCCTTTTAGCTGCAAGCTTAGTAATGCTTATAGTCAGCCTTAAAATGTAATGGAATCAATAGGGTTTTCAAAAATTCTTTTGTTGCATAAGCGTTGCCACGCCCTTAGTACATATGATTATTTTAACAGACATGATTGCTCCACTTTCACAACAGATCTACGAAAACCAGATAAGAATAATTGTCATGCCAATATGTGAAGCCAACAATTTAATATAGGTTGTTTTCATTAACAGTTCAGTACATTTTTTAAACTGAAAGCTGCATTCCAAAGCCCATTTCATGTTCTTGCAACACTGACCAAGGAAACAGTAAAACATGCAAATCTCAACCTACCTGCATGTACCACTTAGAGCAGTGTTAACATGGCAATGCACCCAGCCATTTTTATGTAAAGCAATGGTGATAAGTTCTGTTCTTGTTCTTCTTGATAATTTTTTAGAAGCAGTTGTCAAAATTCAGATGGGAAGCAGCTTGAATAGACCGTGAGCAGGAGAACCGGGTTTATCAACAGGGAAAGCAGGAGTGGGAAAAAAAACCCGTCCTTATCCAAGGTTTTCCGAAACTGCAAAACAAGGTTGGCTTTTTTTTTTTTTCCTCCTTCTCAGAGGGTTCAAAGCTTGAAGCTGACCACTGCAAAGGCCACTTGTCACATTTACTGAAAATCAACCTATTGATATCACAGCTGAAAATATAAACTCGACAACCAAAGCCCATTGCACAACGTGGACTGCGTAAGAGTTAAAAATAGATTCRATGTGCCTCCTACCTGCATAATAAATATGTAAGTTTCAAGTGCTTTAATTCGATATTCACATTAATTAACAATACAATATACATTATTTAAACTACAGTAAATGCAAGAAGAAAAAGGGTGACACCATCTGGAAGCACAGTTTGTTTTTTTTTTTCCTTTCCAAGGGCTAATAATGTAGTTTGAATGTGATGACAAGCTAACAGCTCACCACATTGCAAATGAAAAAAGAATTCTTAAGGTGATGCTCAAATATCTAAGCCTGTAATGAAGCACAAACCAGTCTTCACTACTGCATAACATGGCACACAGACCATTTACATACTCACATTTGAGATACTAGGCACAGTATAATGAATTCAATACACAGCATGCACACAGCACAAGCAACGTTAATCCTGCCTGCCATTTTAGGCTCGCAGGAGTAAGATACATACTGCAGCACAGCTCTAGTAAGGGAGGAGGCAAGGGACAGCTCACCTTAAATGCAGTATCTGATTAATGTTGTAAGTGACATTGCGTATCAGCTACAGAGTCTTGGTTCAACTGGGTGGGAGGGAACAAAGAAAATTGTCATCAACTGGTGATGCAAGATGAGCTCCAGTCACTAACACTGTTAGCAAACTCCAAATTCTACAATGAGACAGTAGAAGGCATTTCAAACTCCTATCAAAATCTGCTTGTGCAATGGCTGAGTCGCCTGCCGAGGAAAACAAAACAATCTTCTTGCTTATTGGAGAAACGCTGCATCCACTACAGCRACATCCTCTTGATGCAGAAAGATTTCACGTCGCACATATTAAATCCTGGATGCATTTGCTGTGCTTTCTTAATTTTTAAGTTTCAGAATTAAAAAATAAAATAAAAAGCCAATGATAGCAAAAATAACATAGCTAAAGGTCTAATGTTCAGGCAAATAAAACATTTCTTTTTCTTTCCTTTCTGTTTTCTCTGTTTTACAGTCCATCAAAATCCTGAGCAGTATTGACAAACCACACGAGCACCGGCTCTGACTGCATGATCAGCTGTCTGTGTCTACGCTACACCCTGTTAACCACAAGCAGTGTTAGAGCTAAATATATCTGCAATGCAGAAACAGTAGGTGCTATGTGGTATACAATTCTGGTTAGTTTTAAGATATTTTTCGATCTTCAGATACAACAAATAAAACAAAATTTACTGCTGATCTCTGTCAAGCATGGTATCTGTCAGACTTACAGAACATAAAAGCTGTCCTAAGTACACTGACCTAGATAACACTAAGAAGACTTAAGCAGCGTGCAAGCATACTCACTGTCAAAGCAAGGAAAACGAAACAATGATTGTCTAATCAAACTGAAAGCAACAACTCACTACCACAGTATAAATTYCAAAATGCTACGTACTGTATATGCACATCTCATGTTATTGGAAGACGCAAAGCTCCTTTGTTTTTTTTTTTTTCTCGGCGGCTTTTCTTAGCTACGGTTGCACAATGACATTCTGACATCATGGAGGTCAATGCAGATACTAAAGTGCTGTCGTCTTCAAGAAAAAAATAATTTTGAAATATAAAACCAGAGCTGCAAAAATAGTAATAATAATAATAATGATAATTAAAAATTTTACATCACCTACTTAATGTCTTTCTGTTACCTTCTGAGATTAATAGCATGCACGTTGTTCAGCCGCATACGTTAAATTGGTATCACCCTCTGCAGAGACTGCAAGAGTAATTGTAGGAATTAGATTTTTATAAATGTCAAAGAAGGCTTATCATCTGGAAAACTTAAAAATACAATAAAATATTTTGCATGTATAATGAACAATATACAAAGAAAAAAKAATTAGAAAGTGCTTAGGAGATTATGTTTTTAAAAAACATGCCTAATAAGCAAAACTGGTTCTATTTTTATTGTCACTCTGTCTCCAAAGGGAGAATGAGAGAACCATTCTGCAGTCTACTATAAMCTGAACTACGTTCCCAGAAGGCTAAACCATCAGGTGAGGTAAAACAAACCATAAGATCTACCTGTTTAGAGACCAGAATCTCCCCCCACTATGTCAGTGACTTCTCTCAGCGCCTTATCTCTCTACCTGCAAATACCACACGCTGATACCCAGCACAAGAACAGAACTGTGAAGATTAACATGTTAGCTCTGAAAATATTTTGTTGAAAGATTTCTTTAGGTAGCTATTGTTTACCATACGTATAAGTGAATATAAATGGTTTCTGGCCAACTGCAGAAATAAACAGCTCCTTGTGAGGCCAGATTTGTCCAGAGGAGCGCTGTCTTTCATTTGACCTGCCAATATGGCTGAGGAAGAAAGCAGCCAAATTTTCRAACACGTTCTTTCCCTAGGAGCCTGTGTATCTGATGTTTTTTTCTTCTCCAAAAGAGCACCTTTTTAAAAAGTGAAGACTAATACCAAGTATTGTGTTAAATCAGAAAATAYTGCACAGCAAAATCTAGGCTGCCATAGGTATGTATTCACTTCCTGTAAAAAAACAGAAAATGTGATTTTGCCTTTTTTTCCCCTTCTTTTTTAATGATTAAATAGGTATCCATTTAATTTTGAGATTTTTCTTTAGGTAGTTATTTGGCATTTTGTTCTCTTTGATTTTAAAAGCTGAGAATAAGATGTTCCTAACTGTCAGTGCTTTAAAATATTCAGAATCCCCTTCCATAAATAGCACATCTGTCACAGAAAGGGAACCCAGCCAACAGAAAGGCAGATCAGACCAGCAAATGCAACTGCTATTCCAATGCATGATTACGAAATAAGTTAGGATTTTAGCAAGCCTTTATTTAGAGTTTTTGTTTGTTTTGAGCTTTTTAAAGTATGAGCTATCTGATTATATACATGCCACCATATATCAAATTTAAGAATGTTAACTATGGATTAGTTTTGAGGTCTATTTATGTTCCACTCATAGTCAAATGTATATTGTCATGTTAGTCATGCCCTGTTTAAAGCCACGRCAAAACTCCTATAGATTTCCAGAAGGGAAGATTTGGGCTGTATGGAGCAGTTTGTTAAAGTATGATATTATTTCAGAAGCAAATGGTAGCTTTGTTTAAAGACAATGATTTTCAGCAAAAGACCAATTTCAGTGGAGTCTCACAATAAATATATCTGTTCCTGCATCCTTGAAATCAGCATTCTCATTCACCCAGAGAAGTACTGCTCTGGGATAGACACAGGAAGGCGATTTGGRTTGTGTGATACAGGATTAAATTAGATAAATTTAGATTTAAAATCTACTGCAAGTGAATACAGCAGTGGAATAAACATCGCACAGTGAACAGGTAAGTTATTTGTCCAAATCTTTATGCATACCTCTTGCTTTAATGAGCCATTTTCAGTGCTTAGTAATAATTTTCCAGGTTTAGATTTGCAATGATTTTGCTTCAGAGTCAACATCATTTCAGCTCAGAGATCAGTTTCTAGGTCCTTCTACACATGTCATAGTAAATAAATAAATTTTTTTAATTGCACTTGTATGTTGAACAAAGTAGGTCAAATTTTTCGAGGTTGGCATACATTCATATTGTATGTTAGTTCTCAGTCAGAAACTTGGACTTAAGTTTAACATGATTTGTGCCAGAACTGTCACAAATCACAGTACCAAGGCACTGTCTCACTTGATTCCTTACCTCAAAATTCCCTGCCTCTGGTAGGTCAGGACTACCTCTGTCCATGCTATAAGCTTCATGTTCGTTCTTTATTCAATCAGCTTAAAGTGAGCCTATTTCAAGTATCCACACTGGATCTCACAGGCCATTTGAGTTGCAGCCTTTTCCACTTTCAAGCATCCTACTTGTAAATATGCTTCCTCTTCCTTTATTTATCACCACTTGAGTGCAACAACATCTTATCTCTCCTCACATACTATAGGTTACCACAACTGGTGAGGAATGAAGAGTTCCAACATCACTTTATATTAAGCATCCTCCTTGTGGTATATGGTTTCTTAGAGGAAAAGTCCTAGTCCTCCATGCTGATCATTTGGCAAAAGGAGGTAGAGTGTGRAAAGAAAAACTCACATAAAGTCCCTAAAACTGTACTGATTTTTGTCTCAAAGTATTGCAACACCTTGTCTTCCTAAAAAGGAAATTCTAAGGACACTGATAGTCTGGAAACTCTGCCAAGCACCAACCTTGTAGCAGTAAATATGTRGAGGAAGACTAGGAGGCCTTGAGAAAAAAGTGACAAACACTTTTAATTTTATATGGATCARCTAACTTCTGTGTCTCTTTGACACAGGCCCAAACTGGACAAGGGACTAAACTGTGCCTCCAGCTACACTGAAGATGTGCTGGATGTGGGACTWCTCCTTAATAGTAGGGAACATACTTAATAAATGAATGAACAAACATACATACACTTAGGTGCATTCACAGCTTAGTAATTATAGTTTTGTTTCTTTTGTTTTTAAAATTGTTTTTCAAATAAATGAGCAGCATACAGAAATCAAAGGATAGAATGAATTCCGACTGTCAAGAAACTGTAGGTAACTGTTAGGTGATACCACCCTTGCAAAGCAATGACAAGGGGACAAGAAGCACAGCTGGGAATCCAGGGTGAGTGTTTCTGGAAGGGCATTCCAGAACTGGCTACAGCCTTTCAGCAAACCTGCTCTTGGAACGACTCCTTCAGCCTCTGAATTTAGCTGCATCAATTAAGTTTGTCTCTTCATTCCATTAGTGCCATTACATAAAACACACTGTTGATGAGTACTCAGTTTGAAATTAAGAGTTATTTTGGAAAAGAAAAAACCCACACCCTTTATAATGAACTAAAGTTCATCCATATACCCAGACACTGAGCCTAGTAATTAACTTGCTGCTCAAATGCCTTCCAAACAAACTCGTACTGCTACATCCTACATGAAGAAGCTTTCTTCAGTAGTGAAACCTCTACTAGTTGTTGTTGGGCTCTGGAAAACAAGGCAGGGGAAAAAAAGGACTGATGGTAGAACGTCCACAGTTTGCCTTTGCAGAGCCAAAGTAAAGCACATTTATGCCTGATCCAGCCAACAYGCCCTGGACCTCTTTATGTGTACACATCTATCTAGCTTAAATTGCCCTAAGGATACAAACTCAGTTAAGTGCTGACAGTTTTCCCAAACTTTCCCACAATTCCTTCTGTGTTTCTGTATGGCTACAAAGTCTTCCATTATTTGCAGAGACYGAAAACAGTTCTCCTTTGTTATTCCTGTGAATGATTTACACACCTTCATTTTTAATTGTTCCACTCAAATAAACAGGCCATCAAATTAATATCTAACTGGTCTAAGATCCAAGTTTAGACTTTTGCTGTTCCCGTTAAATAGGGATTTTTTCCAGCACTACTGAATGAAAAACAGAGCAGCATTTAAAGGCGATTCCTTCTATAAAAGGCAAGTACAAAGACTCTAGAAAAATAGCAAGCATCTGAATATTATGAAATGTATACAGACATACTCCATTGTATCAATGTGTTCTGAATATGCATTATGAAAAAGCATAGGCTTGCCTACACTGAAGGATTGCAGACAAGTCATGTATTGATAGAGTGAGGTGCTGTATGTTTTTTGTGAAATGATTCTAACAGCCACTTATAGTCTAGTACTCTATAAACTATAAAATCTTTAAGGATTAGAACACCTGAGATGTACTAAAAACAAATGGCAAAGAGTRTGTCTTTAAAAACTAAAACCATTCATGGAATCTGAAGAAAGTGATACCTTTATAGATATTTGCAGTCTTTATAGGTTTTATTTCTTTATAGGTTGTATTTCTGTATTTCTGTGTAACAWGACACTCACAGTTAATAAGTGGCTTTGTTTTCCTTTTTCTATGAATAGTGCTTTAATTACCGATAAGCACGGTCTCTCTATCTAATTCTACCTCCTAAGGCCCTGCTCGCTTTCTAAACTTCTGCCAGACACAATGACAAAGGTTTCAAATTTCTGTCTCTTATTACTTCTGGCTAATTCACATGATTAGTGAATGTACATATTGTATTTTTATCATATTTACTATTTGTTACCAATTTTACTTCTCTCTGTATAAAACAGCTCAACTTGCTTGTGTTGATCAGCTCATCTATGTTCGCATGTTCCTTCCAGTTTTAAGGGACAAACTTTTCTTTTAGAGATTAACAGATTTAAAGATTTTATATGGAAAGAGGCTTCACTGAGTCACATAAAATCCTGCAGAGAGATTACAGTCATTTTATCTGAATCATCCTTAGTAACATTAAACAGTAGACAAGAAGAGAAAAAAAATTAGGTTGGAAAAAAAGGGAAGTTTCTCATAATTGTCAAGATAAAATCTATTCAGCCATTTTACATTTTCAAATTAGAAAAAAAAATTTCTTTTACAAACACATGATTAAAGATACTTCTGAAACATGTCTTTTAGAAGAATCAGTCTGTGAACATGATCTCTCTCCATTGTTGCTTTTTTTTCCTTAAAGCTTTAGTAGGTACTGTCCAGCTATTTTGAAGAACAGACGAGAATGACACATATTTCTCATTATTAAAAAAAAAAGTAAGAAATCCATTGTGAGTAATAGAGGTACCAGAACAAGCAGGGGTAGGAAGCTGAAGTATGTCAGCAGAAAATATATGAAGTCTCACAAAAGCTGTTTAGCATTCGATAAAATAAAATGTCACATAACAGGACAGAGTAATCTCACTTCTTAAAACCCATGTGTATAGATGACTGTCTCACA